CAAACATCATAGATGTTTCGTACACTCTTCAATGGCATACAAAGTTACTCCTCTGTAGCTAGTGTGTTAGGTGGAGAGCACTTTGTTGACGTGGTTTGGCTATTCCTTTACATCTCAGTTTACTGGTGGGGTTCATAATCTCCGTCTTTAGACTACTTAATCCCCTTTAGTAGTGGCTATACTACTGTAGAATCACTACTAGTGGACTCAGGCAGTTCTAGTTCAACGGTAGAACACTCCATTGTGGTTGGAGATACCTCAGTTCGATTCTGTGGTTCTGCCCAAATATCAGGGGGTAACGATTGACCAAAGATCAGGATACCTAAGGCTAGATCTAGTTGAGCCTAGCGCTCATTAGGTTAGGAAGGTCCGAGGTCATTTTAAGCATGCTCTAGTATATAGAGAAACATCAAAGATGTTTGGGAACTATAACAGCAACATGACGGACAAATGCAGTTTTTGCTCACCGAAGGGTCTCTCTGAACACAGTCCCGTGCTTGGCCATTATTTCACACAGATATCAATTAGTCTAACCTCTACGTCTAAGGTAATACAAAATTCGGCTTATAGAGTATCTGATCTCCTTATTCCCCCAACACCAAAGGTGTTGCTCATTAAGCACATAAAGGGTTCACTACTGGCTGTTGAACTTGGATTGCAAATATGAGGGGTAGGGTTCAATTCCCTATGGACCTTTACCCATTCTCTACCATCATAGCCCTCTTAGTTCAATGGGAGAATACTGGTCTTCTAAGCCGATTATACAGGTTCGATCCCTGCAGCCCCTGACCCGATTCCCGAAGGGTCTCCACAGGGGGAATAGTATAGCGGTAGTATAGCGTCCTTGCACGACGTCAGCCCGAGTTCGAGTCTCGGTTCCGATCCCATATCCTTCCTAGTGGGTAATAATGGGGGGGTTAGTTCAGTGGTAGAACTCAACACCTTTGGTGTTGCAGCACAGGTTCGATTCCTGTACCTTCCAATTCGAATCCGAATATAAGTACCATAGGATGTTCACTACACTTGACCAACATTGTCGAGGGATCAGG